GGTGCTTGGGAGACGTGGGGGCTCGCTGCCCCTCATCCCAGGCAGCTGCAGTCGCCGGGGGCCCTAGTGTGGAGGCCGCCCCGGCCCGCCCCTCCCTCGCTCTGTCGCTGAAACTCAGTAACCGCCAGGGAATCACGAATCCTGACCCCCCCTTACCCCCCCCCCCCCCCCCCCCGTGCTGGAAGCAGGGATAGGAGCCAGCCCCGGCCCAAACCAGTCGGCTGCTTCTGGCGTTGGCTCCGGTGGGGAGCGGCCACCCTGTGAGCACGCGGGCAGCACGGAGCCCTGGAACACCCCTTCGGGAAGGCAGGTCTGGGAGCAGCTGTGCCCGGGGCCGACAGACGCCCATGCGGGCAGCGGGTGGCCCCACCAGCCACGGGCACACTGCGCCCGCCACGAGCAGCCCACCCCTTCCCTTCCTAGCCCTGCCTCTGCCCTTCCCACCCCACCCCTCCCCCTCCCAACACTCCCCTACCCTTCTAGACCCTTCCCGGCCCCACCCCTTCCCTCCCTTCCCCTCCCATCCCCTCCCCTTCCTGGCCGGCTGCCCATCCCCTCCTCTGCGTTTTCAGGACCCTCCCCCTCCTCTTCCAGACCCTCCCCTAACATTCCCAACCGTCCCCCACCCACTTCTGGCCTCCCGGTCCCACCTTCCCCTCCCTTCCCCTTCCCTGTCCCTCCCTCTCCCCTCCCCTCCCCCTCCCTTTCTCTTCTCTCTTCCCTCCCCTTCCCTTCTTTCCCCTTTCCTTTCTTTCCTCCCCCCCTCCGTCCCCTCCCCTGTTCAGTGCCCACCTGCCCGCCCCCTGAGCTGCTCCCACCAAGTCTCAGCTCCCTTGTGAGCTCCCCTGGGCTGCTCCAGGACAAGGCTCCATCCTCCATGCTCGCGACCTTCTCTGGGACCAGCCCTGTGCCCCGCACTCCTCCCGACCCCAGGCCTCCCCCTGCGCCCGTTGAGCTGGCTGCTGCCAGTGGTGCCCGAAGCCGCTGGTCTACACTGTCTACACTCTGCAGCTACTACTACCAGCAGGAGCCGGGAAGCAGCACTCGAGCGAGACCTTAAGGAAGCTGGCGAAGGGGGCTGTGCTGGGGTGGGGGGGGGCGTGCAAGGACTCGGGGAGTCACCAGCTGGGCCACAGGCAGTGAGAGGGGGGTGCTGGGGGTCTATTTCCTGGCGAGGGCTCGGGGTGTCGTGGGGTACGGGTGAGGCGACCTCGGCAGCGACACCCTCAGCCCCATGAGGCCACCCTGAGGTAGGTGTGACCCGGGACCACCACGCCCATCCTGGAGCCCGGACTGAGGCCCGGTGTGGGGCGTGGGGCAGGTGGCGTGTGCCACGCCTCAGTTTCCCAGCCTGAGAGATGGAGTAATGCTGCCAGCGTCCTGTACGGGGCGGCCCTGGCCAGCCGGCCCCGCGCGCCCTGGCCGGCCGGCCACGCTCGGGTCAGTAGCGAGCGCCATTGTCAAGGAGATTAATAGCGGTGGGGCCGCCGTTAATTCAGCGCCTAATGAGTGCGGGCCGCGCGCGCCGAGTAATCGGGTGATGTATGTGGGAGCGCCCACGTCCTGGCAGGGGTGAAAATCATTTCGACAAGTCAAATATTGTCACAGGGAACAAATGGTTCTGCCTGTTAATAAAAATTAATGAATTTTTTTTTCTTCTCTCTCCCTCTCCCCCTCGCCGCTGGCCTGCTAAACGGAGCCGCCGCGGACGGACACTTTATTTCATGGTTAAAACTGTAAACGTCTGATTAGGGCAGGAGCGGCCGGTGCAGGGGTGGGGGGCCCCACCCCGTGTGTCGGCAGCTGCGGCTGCTCGGCCTAGGCCAGGCGGGGGTCTCCGTGTCCCACGCAGGCGGCTGTGCCGGGAGGCCCGCGGTCACCCTCTTCCTTGTCCATCCAGCGTCCAGCGGTGGCAGCGAGGCAGCTCGTGCCCGCAGGCAGGAAGGAGGAGCTGCTTCGCTATAAATAGTGTGGCCGCTTCGGGCTCCTTAACCCCTTCCTCTCTCTGCTACCGGCGGACATCAGCCTCAAGCATCCAGCGGCCCCTCGCTCCTTGCCCCATCCCCAAGCCAGGCCCAGGCCCTCAGCACCCGACAAAGCTGCCTGCAGGCCGCTATGGCCCTCCTGGGTGGCCCCAAGCTAGCACAGCCCAGGACCTCAAATCTCACTGTCCCCAGACCCAAGGGGCAGGGCGGGCTCCTCCCGGGCTCTCAGGCTTGAGTGCCAGACCCCCCTAGAGACGGGGTCGTGGTCGGGGGCACAGAGCGGGCAGAGCTGGACCCACAGGCAGCATCTGGGCGCACTCAGGAGGCAGACGTGCGGGCAACCCATGCTGGCCACAGCAGCCCCCTCGTGCCCGTGGATGGTCCCCAGCACCTGCTTTCTCTGCACTGGGCGCCAGTGCTATACTGGGGGTCCGGCCCGCAAGGGCAGTCCAGGGCTGACCCACCCAGTCTGGGCAGCTCAGCTGGGCACATGGAAGGTTCCGCGGTGGCGGGTGGGGTTGCACCCGGGAGGGTGCGTGGCCCCTGGCTGAGACATGTTTGTGAAGAATATTCTGGCAGACTCTGGGCCCCAGATCCGGGGGGCGTGAGGGTCGGGGGCTGATTCCGAGAGCAGTGCGGCCGAGCGCCCACCGCCGCCTCCAGGGCTGGAAGTGGGATATTAAGCGGGGAATAAAGGAGCGGGAGGAAAGGCCGAGTCACATCTCGGAGAAACAAAGAGGCTTTTACCAGAACAAGCCCTGATAAAAATTACAGTGGCCTCGCGCGCTCCTGCCGCCCGGGGCATGCGGCGGCCGCGGCTGCTCCCAGGAGCGCCCGGTAAATAGCATCTTAGAATAACTCGCTCCGCGTGGCACCGAGGCAGGACCGGGGGAGGGTCCGGCTGGCCCTGGGGGAGGGGTCCCTGGCCTCACGTGACGCTGGCGGACTCGGAGGGGCCGTGCTGGGCCCGGTGCCAGCAGGGCTCACTGGTCTCACATTCGGGTCCTTCTCTTCTCGGGCGGGTGCGCTGGGGGGCTGTGCGTGAGGGGCTGAGGAGCCGGTGGCCCACAGGCCCTAGTGGACAGCACCCGGCCTCGTGCCCAGCCCTGCACCCGCACACCTGCAGTTACACCCCACACAGAGGCCCTGGCAGGACGGTGGCCATTGAGCCGGGGCTAGCCCCGCCTCCCCCGCGGCCCACCCAGTGGTCAGGCTTAGCCGTGGAGCCCCACTGGCCCCGTGAGGCAGCGGTCACTGTTCATGGGGCAGCCCAGGCCCCGACAGGCCTCGCAGGAGGCAGACGGTGGCTCCGCCAAGGGCTGGAGAGAGGCCAGGCAGCTGAAGCTGGGGCCTGAGACAGGCCCTTGGGTGCCGGGGCAGGGACTCGGGTGAGTCAAGGAGAGCGGGAGGGGCGCTGAAGGAACCTCGTCTCGCAGCAGCGAGAACTGGGGGCAGGCGAGAGTCCCCCCACCTTCCCCGTAGGATGGACCTCAGGGTGGCCCTCACTCCAGGTGGCCGCCAGCCGCCAGCTACCAGCCGCCACGCACATTCTACGGAGGGTGGGCAGGTGGGGGTGGTGGGTAGTGGGTGGATGATGGGTGGGGGATGGGGGAGTTGAGCCCCCGGGGAGGCTGGACTGCCCTTTCCTGTGGCCTGCTGGGTGGGCAGTGTGGCTCGAGTCCCGGCATGTGTGTACCCCGTGAGAGCCAGTATGGTCCCACCAGGGCAGGAGCTGGGGGCTCAGCCGTTCCAGGCCAGGTGACACCAGGGTGCCAGGTGGCAGCTTCCTGGGTGCTGCTGGAGGGGCCCCCTGACCCCGAGTGAGACAGTCCCACACAGCTGGGTGCTGAGTGCGGGGAGGAGGCGGGAGGGGAGGGCCAGCCCTGGGCCAGTGCTGGGTGCTGGAGACCCTAACTGCTGCCCCCGCAAGCACAGTGGGGCTCCCCTTCCTGCCCTGAGCTGAGGCAAAGCCAGGCCAAGCCTGCCCCCCTCCCCACCTGATTGGGGCTCTCGGCTTCCACTGTGGCTTGGGGCGATCACGCAGAGTGTGGTGGGACCCCAGTCCGGTGGCCAGTGCTGTGAGGGACCCTCAGGTCACAGAGCTGGCCCCCGGGTGAAGAGCCACGTGGGCGCGAGCCGTGGGCAGCTGGGGGCACGGGGAGGGGCCAGGTGCTTTGTCCCGCCAGCCCTGGCCTGGCCCTGCTGTCCCCAGGAGCAGGAGGGGCCCCGGCCTGTGGCGTCAGCCCTGCTGGGTCCGAGGCCCCGTGGGAGGGGGAGGTAACCCTGATTGCCCCACCCAGGGAGCAAGCCAAGCGCGTCCTCTGGGTGGGCAGAGCACCCTCTCCACTCGGGGCTGTCCTGGTTCTGGACGCTCAGGGGTCACTAAGGGGCTCTGCACAGGGCCTGCAGGTGGGAAGGGTCCCTGCCTGGGGGCAGGGTGGGATGCAGCATGCTGGGCCTGGGTTGCCCTTCTCTCCCACCCCTCGTCCTCGCGGGGGACATGTACGAGCGCGACGCAGAGCTGCTGGCCGGCGAGAGCACGGAGGACGAGGCAGAGGACGGCCCCATGTCCCCGGTGCTCCTTTGTGCTCAGGTGTCCCAGACGCCTGGCTGTACAGGCAGCTCCACACGGGAGGGGCCGGGCCATCAGGAAGCCACGGGGGTCCCGAGCCTGTGCAGACCCCAGACCCGCTCATGCAGAGCTGACCCCACAGCACACGCAGACAACCCAGGCATGATGGGTGGGGCTGCGCCCCTCCCCCCACCCTCCCCGCACAGCCCAGCACCCACCCCCAGAGGCTACTAACCCTCCCAGGCCATTGGGCAGCACCTGGCCCTCAGGCGGTCCTGTGGGGCTCCCAGGGGGAGCAGGGACAGGCCTCGGCATCGCTCCCTCAGCCCCCTGCCTCCTGGACCTGAGTGTCCACTGCGCAGCCTGAGTAGGAGGCCGGCCAGGGAGGACTCGGGGTCCAGGCACCATCCCCGGGGCCCATCTGACCCTGCCTCTCTCCCCAGGTGACGGCGACCTCGCGGGGGACATGTACGAGCGCGACGCGGAGCTGCTGGCCGGCGAGAGCGCGGAGGACGAGGCAGAGGACGGCCCCATGTCCCCGGTGCCCGAGGGCCCACCGTCGCCCTTCACACCCAAGGAGGGCTCCCCGTACGCCGCCCCCGTCTACATCCCCGAGGACATCCCCATCCCGCCCGACTTCGAGCTGCGTGAGTCCTCCGTGCCGGGCGCCGGCCTGGGCGTCTGGGCCAGGAAGAGACTGGACACGGGTCAGAGGCTGGGGCCGTTCGCGTTGGCGGCACCACGGCCGGTGCTCCGGGACACCGACTTCGGATGGGAGGTGAGCACCGCCTTGGCGTGGCCGGATGCGGCTTGGGGACTGAGGCCAGGCCTGTGGGGACGGCGGCTCCGCCTGGCGTTTCCTGGGCAGGGGCGGGGCCCAGAAGCTCCCACCTCAGCCTTGCTTGCAGAACGCGGGGGACCGTGAGAGCCAGGGGCTAGCCAAGTATCTGACCCGCACCCGAGGGGCCCTCAAGGGGGTCTCATAGGGCCCACCAGCCCTCAGTGCACTGCCGGCCCCTGCTTAGTGCTCTCCAGGGGGAAACGCAAAGGCAGGACCGCGCTGGCGCCTCAGCTGGACAGGCCGAGACCACGGTGTGGTGCTGCCCAGTCACCATGCTGACCCCTCACCTGGAGGACACCATGGGGGGCTGCCACAGCGTGACTGCAGAGGACACTTGTGTGGACATGGTCTGCTGTGCGTGGATGTGGTCAGCCCATGTGTGGGCGTGGTCTGCCCGTGCGTGGACGTGGTCAGTCTGTGTGTGGATGTGGTCTACGTGGATGTGGTCTAGTCCACGTGTGGAAGTGGTCTGCCCGTGCATGGATGTGGTCAGTCCATGTGTGGACGTGGTCTGCGTGTACGTGGTCAGTCTGTGTGTGGACGTGGTCTGCCCGTGTGTGGGCGTGGTCAGCCCGTGTGTGGACGTGGTCAGTCTGTGTGTGGACATGGTCAGTCTGTGTGTGGGCATGGTCAGCCCGTGTGTGGGCGTGGTCTGTAGGTACAAGTTGTGCTGCAGACTGCCTGGTGACCTGCCCCCAGCCCGGACTGTCCACTCTGTGGCCGGCCTCTGCCTGCCCTCAGCTCAGGTCATGCTCCTGGCCTTGTCAAATTGGGGCCTGGCCCCAACTTTTCTGTTCAGAACCGGAACTAGGCCCATTCTCCAGCTGTTCCCCAGGCCCCCTCACCTCCACTCTAGAATGTGCTTCTAGAACATTCTGCTCCTGTGGGGAAGAGCCTCTGGCTGTGTCCGGGACCAGTGGGCTGTCTGTCGGGGAGGCCCCCCGAGTGTGGCTTCCCGGCGGGCTGGAAACTGGTTCTGATTATTTGTCAAGAAAACCCTGAGTGTGGCCGTTTACCTGTTGCTGGGGCGGGGGCTGGCCAGTGCCCCTGAAGCACGCGGGTCTGGCCACCCTCTGCCCTTCTCTCCGGCATCTCTCTGAGAGTCAGTTGGGGGCCCTAAGTCCTGCAGCCTCCACCTGGGGGAGAGTGTGAGAGGCGGGGAGGGGGTCTATTGTCTCCCGCGCTGGCCACGGGGTTGGCTAGTCCACCTGGACGACGCGTGCTGACTTGCTCGTTCAACACGGGCCCCTGGGAAGCCCTGGGCATTGTGGAAAAGGCTCCCGGAGCTGCGGCCACCTTACCTCAATCGCTGCCCAACCTGAGGCCAGGGCTTAGCTGTGCTCACCAGGCTCGTGTCTAGGACAGGCATCGGGGCCACAGCCCCAACCAGAGGGAAGGCCTGTGAGGGCCGGGCGCGAGCAAGGCCAGGGCGGTCCCTCGGGCAGCGCCCCTCCAAGTCACACTGACATGCAGCCCCCAGCCCCCAGGAGACCTCCCAGACACAATCTGACACCTGTTCTGGAGGGGAGTGTCTCAGATTTCCCGGGGATCTGTGTACCCCTGCACCCCGCATCAGTGCGCGCAGCACCTGCAGCCCTGCACGCTGCACCGCTGCACCAGTGCACGCAGCACCCGCAACCCTGCATGCTGCACCCCTGCACCCCCACATCAGCACCCGCAGCCCTGTACGCTACACCCCTGCCCCCTGCACTAGTGCACACAGTCCTGCATGCTGTACCCCCTGCACCCTGCACCAGTGCACACAGTACCCGCAACCCTGCATGCTGCACCCCTTCACCCCCACACCAGCACCCACAGCCCTGCACCCCTGCACCTGCACCAATGCATGCAGCACGCACAGCCCTGCACGTTGCACCCCTGTACCAGTGCACACAGCACCTGCAGCCCTGCACACTGCACCCCTGCATCCCCACACCAGCACCCACAGCCCTGCACCCCTGCACCCTGCACCAATGCATGCGGCACGCACAGCCCTGCACGTTGCACCCCTGTACCAGTGCACACAGCACCTGCAGCCCTGCACACTGCACCCCTGCATCCCCACACCAGCACCCACAGCCCTGCACCCCTGCACCCTGCACCAGTGCACGGAGCACCCACAGCCCTGCATGCTGCACCCTGTGCCCCCACACCAGCACCCACAGCCCTGCACACTGCACCCCTGCACCCCAGGCCCCACACCCATGTGCTTGCTGCCATGTGTGGCTGGCTCTGGGACACACTCTCCTGGACAGCAGGCAGGGCTGGACCAGGCTGGCCTGTGCTGGCAGGCAGGCTCCCGCACTCTCTCTCAGCCACTCTGTGCCGGACCCTGTCTGGGATTTCTTCGGTCGCTGCCCTCGGCCAGGCCTCCAGACCGGCCCGGGGCTGCTAGCATCCAGAGTGACCCTGGCAGGGTGAGCCGGTTCCACCCTCGTCCATTCGGATGTCCCCCGGCAGGCGCACCCCACCCTGGCCCCCCACAGCCTGTCACCGTGACATCAGCCCCGCTGCTTTTAGCCGGGAATGCCGTGGAGTCCTGCACCCGTGGGCCAGCCCCGAGCGGGCACATGAGGAATGCTGGGAAAGGCGGGCGGCTAAGAATACCCCCCGTCCGTCGCTTCCTTAAGGGGTAATGTCTCAGCACCCGGCCGCGGGCGGCCGCACTTCCTTTAAATAGACCTCAGACTCGCAAGCGAAAAAGGAAATAAATATTTTCTTTTCATATTTGAGAGAAGTTTCCAAATGCCAACTTCTTAAATGGTATTTTACCATCCCATGTACCCCACATGCACATGTCTTATATGCACACGTGTGTACATTCATGTGCTTGCATGTAACATACATTCTACACACATCTGTGTGCACCACCCATGCACACACACGTATCACTATTCACACTCGCACATACCTTAGCCACATAGACACATACACACATGCATCAAACATGTATTGTGTGCTCACATACTAGTCACATGTCAAGGCCACATGACATGATATAGGGTCACATGCAGGACCCTGTAAACCCCCCTGGGGAAGGGGCAGGGCGGGGGTCGGCCCCCTCCACAGGCAGCGCTGCCCCAGCTGTCCTGCCCTCGTCCTCCTGCCCCTTGGTCCCCTGGCAGGGCCTTGGCACTCATGCAGACGCCACTTCCTGGGGCCAGGGTCCCGGGTCAGAACCCCACCACGGCCCCGCCCTGCCCTGGCATCTCCTGTCCAGACGGTGGCCCTGCTGCCTGCTCCCCTGGCACCGGCGGTCCTGAGGCACCTCCAACATGGAGCTTTGGGTCCTGCCCTGCTGGGCTCTGTGTGGTCAGAGGCTGCCTGAGTCAGGCCCAGCCCCTGCCACTCCTGAAGCCCCCAGGTTCCGGGTCAGGAGGGGGCCAAGTGCAGTGGTTGGCACCCCACTGCAGCCCCTAAGTGCCACCTCACAGACACGACCCAGAGAAGGGCGGGGGGGGGGGGGTCCTGGGGGTCCCAGGCACTGGTGTCTGCATCCAACTCTCACTGAAGGGATGGAGGAGGAGCAGCGGGTAGGGGCATGGCTGGCGCTGTCCATGCAGGCCCCAGGCCAGGATCCCACCAGGGGACCGAGGGACAGACCGGGGGTGGTCTTGGGCATGGCCCATGCCCCCGCTCCCCCCGACAACCCAACTCATCCTGGGAAAGCAGCAGCGCCGTAGCCCCACCTGCCCGAGGGCAGGCACGGCTGCAGGGCTCCCCGGGGACAGCAGGGCCCAGCGGCCTCCCGCCCATGGCCAGCGGTGAGAGTCCGGGCTTCAGGCCATAAAAGGTCTCCCGGGCACCGCAGACGGGGCACACCCGCCCGGGGCTTATCAGGGCCTCTCAGCCGGAATCCCGGCGGCGCTCGGAATGTTCTCGGCGTGTCCCGGGCATGGCGGCCGCTCCCAGAGCCCAGCCTGGTCCCGCCTGGACGCTCCTGGCCCTGCCTCCTGCCCAGGGTGCGTGCTCTGCTCCCGCACCTGGAGGGTCTGTCCTGCAGGCAGGGCTGGCACTGAGCAGGCAGCGTGGGGGGTCTGCGGGGGCACGGGGTGGCAGGTGAGCAGCCCCGGGGGCTGGTCCAGGTGAGGGCGGGGTTGGGGGATGTCCTGTCGGTGGCCGCGTCTCTTCCTGGAGCCAGGCGGGACTGGACAGGCACACGCCAGCCACGTCCCGTGGGACTCCGGCCGGTGGCTAAGATTTCGGCTGTGTGGCTTCGAGGCTTTGTCTGCCTGCCGTGGCTGAGATAAGCCCTGGCTGGAACAAGCTGCGGTGACCTTGTCTGAGTGCAAACTGCCCGTTTCCCCCAGGCTAACTAGGCTCCTGCAGGCCACGCAGGACGGCCACGGGCAACAGGGGTGCTAGGTGTACGCTGCACCCTCAAAGGCTGCATGGTGCAGCTGGGGTAAGTGCAGGTGAGGGGGCAGGGGTGGCCATGCTCACAGTGACCCGGGGTCCCAAGTACCACCAGGGTTCATCCCTGAGCACTGCTGGTGTGGCCCGGAAACCAAAGCAAGCCCCAGCGCCCCCAAACCGACCAGCACCCTCTTCCCCTCCTGAGGTGCACTGCCCCACCCAGGGTGCCCCCATGTCCGTGACCCAGGCGGCACCCCTGATGCTGCTGAGGAAAGGGGATGGCTGTGCTCCGGCCAGGGCGGGGCACAGATGTGAGCATCCCAGGGGGGCCAGCAGGGAGAGCCCAGCACATTGGCAGTGGGGGCTGGGTGGGACCCACATCAGAGCCACACAGAGGCACCTTTATCTGTGAGGTCCACCGGAGTGAGGCCTGTGGGGGCCTGTGTTACAGCCGAGCCCCCTGCCCAGTGCAGGTGTGAGTTCACGCACATCATGTGTGCGGAGGTGTGAGTGCGCACTCATCATGTGTGCAGGTCTGCGTACACACACATCATGTGTGCAGATGCGAGTACATGTGCTCT